CAAAATCAAGTGAGTTGTACTAACTTTTGTATACTCTAATTTCGAGTTTATTTTTTGTACATTAAGATGTGTTCTATGGATTTGTGTTGATTTTGTTTGTGGGTTTTGGTAATCTTGAAATATGAGACAAGGGTTCTACTTGGAAGAATGATTTTGCCATAATCGAGTTACACTTTGCAATTAGGGTTTGTTTTAAGAGATTAGTGATATTATAAAAGATGTCAAAACCAGATCTAAACATAATCACTTTTTGTTGTTAGTAATCAACTGTGAATAAGACTACTTTTTTGTTGTTAGTAGTCACTTTTTCTATCTGGGTTTAGCTTGAACAACAATAAGATTATGAGCATTATCAGGAATACATTTTGCTATGCTTGTTGGGTCTTTGAGTTCTATTTTTAACTTCTGTTTGTATTTTTCTATTTTGAAATTGTTAATTTGAAAAGTTTAGTATAGGCATTGTATAACTCGTTTTATGAGAATATATAGTGGTGTTTAAATTCTGTTTTTTTTTTTCTATTTTAGAAGGCCTTATTGCAGCTTATGAAACATGTGTGGAGTTTTGTTTCTTCGTGAATGTGTTTGCTGCCTGTTTGTCCTAAGAACAGCTAACCAAGTAAGCTCTCTTTCTCTATCTTATTCTATTTCATTTTTCTTGGTTTGTCAAAGTCATGACTTAAAGAAAAAATGTTTATTTGTGATAGTCGATTAGTAATTTCGATATGTATTTGGTAGCTGATTCAATTATAATTTTTACGTATTGTCAAACATTGTCGAATTAAATACAAGTTAATGAAAATGGTTCAAGAAAGAGAGTTTTAGATAAGAATTAACATTATCAACTTAAAGAAGTTGTTCATAAACTAAACAAAAAATGATTTTCTATTCATACACATAATTAAAGAAATGAATAACAAACAAACAAAAAATGACATCTATTGCCATCAACTTTTTTTTGCCACACACAAGAAAGTAAACAAGAAGAGACTAGCAAAATTTTCATCCAATATTTTTATCTATACCTAAATTTCTGCAGTAAGTTAATCAAATTTTGGTGTATCTAAAGATTTTTTCCTTGCTCCATATCAAATGAAAGATTCTTCTTGAGTTCTCGTTGTCATACTCTGCTGGATTAGATATAAGTGATTGAGATCTCTGATGGTTAATCAGATTAACATGTCTTTCACAAATTTTAGATTTAATGTAAAGTATGCAAAGTTCAATTTTTCATAGCTATTAAGTAATTGCTTGCTATCTTTGCTCTACTTCTCTGTTTCTTTTCTTTGTGCCCCTCTATTTATGTAAAGAAATTCACCTGATCAACATACAATGATATTTAAGTTTGTATTTTTTTCTTTTCCACATGGTGTTATTATAGTTTGTGGAGAATATGTGGACCTTTGCTTCTTCGTGAACGTGTTGCTGCTTATTTATCCTAAGAACAACTATATCAAGTTTACGTAAGTACTACTTATCTCTCTTAGTTTGTTTAATATTTCGGGTTGTCCATCTTTATGCTTGATGAAACTTTCAGAAGGGTATTGATTGTGAGCAGACATGGGATGATTATGCTATGATGGTTAATATTTCAAATGTTATACACAGATTTTGCTG